CAGTGAGTGGGCGGGCTGCTGGGAGGGAGGGGACGGGAATCACTGTACCCCGCCCCGCCCGCAGCTCCTTGCTGAGGTCGGCCTTCCTCCTGCTGCTGCTCATCAGCGCCACCTGGCTGCTGGGGCTGCTGGCGGTGAACAGCGACGTGCTCACCTTCCACTACCTCTTCGCCATCTTCAGCTGCTTGCAGGTGACAGCTTGGTGGGGTCTGTGCTTGGGCCAGGCCTGGTGAGGTCCTGGGCCACCTGTGCTGCTCTTTTTCTGAAATGTCTCCACCCCGCTTGGCAGAGAGGGTCCCCAGGGAGATCACCCAGCGTCCAGCTGTGTCCGAGCTCTCAGGACACATGGGGCCACACCGTGGCTGTGGTTCCAGTGTGGCTGCTGTGTGTTCAGGTCACAGAAGGGCCTCAGCATCAGCCAGTACAGGGGCTCACTCCCTGCCCAGGTGTCAATCCCACTTGGGTCCCCAGGGAGGGCTGTAGCCTGGGATGGGCCCTGCCATCCCACATGCTGGCTGCCCAGCCCAGGCTCCTGCAGGGGAGGTTGGGCATGGGCCCTGGTGGCGTCTCTGCGGCCACCGTGGCCGGCTGCTCTGGCCTCTCTCAGCTCCACACCTCGGGGGCTGTGCTTGGCAGTCTCGGGCTGGCAGGACAGTGGCCTTCCTGACCCGCCGCCCTCCCTGCAGGGCCTCTTCGTTCTCTTGTTCCACTGTGTGCTCAACGGGGAGGTCAGGAAGCACCTGAAGGGGGTGCTCTCCGGGAAGAAGCCGTACCCCGATGACTCGGCCACCACTAGGGCCACCCTGCTGACGGTAGGAGGTGCCCAGGGACACCCACGGGGCCTGGGGCTGGGCTACACTGCTCACCAGGGTTCCATGTGTGTTCTGGATCAAGCGTTAGACCAGCTCCATGGTCTCGGCATCTTTCCCAAAGGGGGCGTCACAGAGCCGTCCATGGACCATGGCATAGAGCCCAAGTAGAGAGGTCTGTCACAGCCACAGCCCCGATTTTCCAGGTCTCTGGAGGACAGGGCCCTGAGGCCAGGACCCCCGACCAGAAGTGGGGGCTGATCCGGGGGAGGCTGTCCTCTAACCATGGTGGGGGCTGAGCAATGGATACTCTTCTCCTGGCCACGGGGAGGCTCCTGTGCTCTGTGCCCAGCGGGACACTGTCAGAGGCCAGCGCTGAGGCTCGCTGTGGGGACGGCCAGCCTCTGCACCCTGTGTCTCCGCTCACCGAGAACCATCTCCCTCCCCCAGCGCTCCCTCAACTGCAACACCACCTACAGCGAGGAGCCCCACATGCTGCGCACGGCCCTGGGCGAGTCCACTGCCTCGCTGGACAGCACCGCCAGGNTCAGCATCAGCCAGTACAGGGGCTCACTCCCTGCCCAGGTGTCAATCCCACTTGGGTCCCCAGGGAGGGCTGTAGCCTGGGATGGGCCCTGCCATCCCACATGCTGGCTGCCCAGCCCAGGCTCCTGCAGGGGAGGTTGGGCATGGGCCCTGGTGGCGTCTCTGCGGCCACCGTGGCCGGCTGCTCTGGCCTCTCTCAGCTCCACACCTCGGGGGCTGTGCTTGGCAGTCTCGGGCTGGCAGGACAGTGGCCTTCCTGACCCGCCGCCCTCCCTGCAGGGCCTCTTCGTTCTCTTGTTCCACTGTGTGCTCAACGGGGAGGTCAGGAAGCACCTGAAGGGGGTGCTCTCCGGGAAGAAGCCGTACCCCGATGACTCGGCCACCACTAGGGCCACCCTGCTGACGGTAGGAGGTGCCCAGGGACACCCACGGGGCCTGGGGCTGGGCTACACTGCTCACCAGGGTTCCATGTGTGTTCTGGATCAAGCGTTAGACCAGCTCCATGGTCTCGGCATCTTTCCCAAAGGGGGCGTCACAGAGCCGTCCATGGACCATGGCATAGAGCCCAAGTAGAGAGGTCTGTCACAGCCACAGCCCCGATTTTCCAGGTCTCTGGAGGACAGGGCCCTGAGGCCAGGACCCCCGACCAGAAGTGGGGGCTGATCCGGGGGAGGCTGTCCTCTAACCATGGTGGGGGCTGAGCAATGGATACTCTTCTCCTGGCCACGGGGAGGCTCCTGTGCTCTGTGCCCAGCGGGACACTGTCAGAGGCCAGCGCTGAGGCTCGCTGTGGGGACGGCCAGCCTCTGCACCCTGTGTCTCCGCTCACCGAGAACCATCTCCCTCCCCCAGCGCTCCCTCAACTGCAACACCACCTACAGCGAGGAGCCCCACATGCTGCGCACGGCCCTGGGCGAGTCCACTGCCTCGCTGGACAGCACCGCCAGGTCAGGCCCGAGTGTGCCCTTGCTGTCCTCTGGGCGGGGGTGGCCCAGCTGGGAGCAGACGCAGGCTTCGTCACCTCTGCCCGGAGCCTGCTGGGGAGGCCTGAGGGAGTCCTGCTGCTCTGGTTGGCGGGCGTTTCCCAGCGCACTCGGGGGGGGTCTCATGGCAGAGAACCTCCCAGAGCCCATGTGGCTGTCCTGGCACATTCAGCAGGTGCTCGGTGATGTTGGGTGGCCACATCACATGGTACTGAGCCCACCCTCCCCACCCTCTTAGGGTCGAAGGAGGCCAGAAGCTCAGTGTGTCCTCTGGGCCAGTGAGGGGTGGCCATGGGGAGCCAGACTCAACCTTCCTCCCCAGGAGCAGCAAGAAGCCGCCCGGTATGTGTCCCTGGAAAGTGGTCTCCTGGCAGCCTGGGCATCTGCCTCCCGGGGGGTTTTGGCTGGAGCTCTTGCTGGCTCTTGTCTGTCCCACGGCCTCCATCACTGGGGAACGCACGGCCTTGAGGGGGTCTGAGGCTGAGTCACAGCCATGGTCAGCAGGGACTGGATGGCCATCAGTGGTCCCGCTCTGCCTCGGCAGGGAGCCCATTCCCGCCCTGAGCCCCAGCCCTCCTGTCACCTGCAGGCCAGGACTCAGACTCGGACAGCGAGCTGTCCCTGGATGAGCAGAGCAGCTCTTACGCCTCCTCACACTCGTCGGACAGTGAGGATGACGGGGCAGAGGCCGAGGACAAGTGGGACCCGGCCCAGGGCCCTGTCCACAGCACCCCCAAAGGTGAGGGAGCGGCGCAGCAGGCCAGGCCTGTCCCCAGGACACAGACTGGGTAGCCCCGAGGCCAGAGGGAGGCCCTGGCAGGGAAGAGGCCCCTCCTCACCACCCACAGAGCACAGGCAGGGAAGTCTTAGGGCTCTCTCACTGCAAGGACCCCACAAAGCTGACCCCACCTGCTGGGGGGTAGCCAGCAGAGGCCCCCAGGTGTTGGGGATGCGGTGGGGGGATTGCAGCCTGGGACCCCGTCAGGACCTTCCCTGTCTGAGCCTTGGTTTCCCCGCCTGGAGGGCGTGGAGCGTCCGGACCACTCAGGATGCACACTCCCCAGTGGAGGGACAGTCCAGAGCTTTTCAGGGGTGGGGGTCTCCCCGCCTGCTGACCGCCGCCCTCCTGCCCAGCAGACGCTGTAGCCAACCACGTCCCTCCGGGCTGGCCAGAGGAGAGCCTGGCCGGGAGCGACAGCGAGGAGCCCAGCGAGAAGCCGCACCTGAGGGTGGAGACCAAGGTCAGCGTGGAGCTGCACCTGGACCAGCAGGGCAACCACTGCCGGGAGCGCCTCCCCGACGGGGAGGCCGGGGCCCC